CCCATCGCACTTGTTGTTCAGGGGCCCCCACACGGCTTTGGTGATTGACCTTGTACGGTGGGCACGATCTCTTGAAATCAACTTTGCATTCTTGAAGAGATCACGCTGAAGCACCGGAATTGCTGCTTGTTCGGAGGGCCCACCATCGCAGACCAAATTCGTTGTGATAGCCTGCTGGATCACACACAATTGCAGAGGCTCGCTACAACAAGCTGACACTTACTGATTTCAAGTACTGATTTCAAGGCGGGCCTTCACATGCTCATACAACTCAGTGTCCAAGGAATCTTCGCTTCCAGATGCCTTGCCTGGATCCCGTCGCCCTTGTCGAAGAGTACAGGCAGATTCCAAAATGACTCTGAAGCTTTGCGCGCTGGATTCACCGCCTGTCCCTGATTCTCGGACCACGCCCAGAATACATTCATATAATCCAGAACGGGGCAGGTAGCGATTGCCAATCAGATCTTGATAATAGAATCTCCCAATGACGAGAAACAAAGAGTCCCTCACGTCAAACCCGAATGACGCTGACACTGCCTGAGGGCGCATGGCTGGTGCAAAGCTTAATCATCTCTTATCCCAGTATGCGCGAAAGACACTATCACAGCTACGTTAGACTCATACCCTGGCAATCCGGCAAGTGTTGAAGGGTTCCTTGGTGTTGCTCGAATCTGGAATTATGTTTGAAATATTAATCTTAACACTGAAATTGTAGAAGATTGTTAAATGGTAGTTCCAAGTTGGATTCTAGTTTAGGAAAAGAAGCCTCACGCTAGCTCAAAACCCAGCATACTCGGATAATATGTATGCTTCAATTGGGAATTAAATGAAATTTGAGGAGTCATTCCAGTGTAGCAGCCAAATCGTAGCAATGATTCGCTCAAAACGAATTAATCAGAACTCCCTGCGCCAGCACCCCCTGATATTTCCGGTAATGTTTGAGGAATTGACACGGTTTGCTGGATATATCTGAGAGCCAATATTTATTATTGATATGGGGGGTATTTCATGAGTTGTTGCTAGATCCATGCCCTGCCTTTCGGAACACCGCTTGGTCCTGGGAATACAAAGGCTTGGCCATGGCCAATACAAGTTTGTGGCAAGTCTGCGGGGACATATCCGCATGCGCCCCCTTTTGCAGCATTGCACTTGACACTGTCAGTGTCTGCATGTATGCGCGGAAATCTTCAAAACAATCTTTTCTAGCGATCACCTGGCCAGCCATGAGGAATTTGTCCAAACGTGGACATACATCAGTTGCTCCCGTGAAATGACCTGGAGCCGGAGCTTCTTCAGCAGAAAGATTGACATTCATCTCGCGCACAGCTGCCTGATGGCTAGGTGACTCTGCATGCTTTCCGAAACTGCTCGGGCCCATGGTCTCACGCGTTGACACTGTCAGTTTGGAAAAAGAAGAGGCATGCTTCGGCGGAAAATGGTGACAGATCCAACAGCCGATCCCGAACCCTCCAGGGAAGCTGCGAGGCTTCACGCAAAGCCACGTTCGCAAGCCTACTGTGGGATGTGGGAACAGAAACTTCTGACCCCATGCCAGATTGTCACTTGGACTTGACACTGACTTGGTTCCTCTGCGAAGTTCTCCTCGAAATCCGTGTTCGAAAAAGCATCGTGCGCAATCCTCATCCTTACATTGATCCCAGTGGTCGTTGTCGCTTTGGTAAGCGGTGGCAGCAATGCCACGAGGTGGTGTAGTTGACACTGGAATGCAAAGCGGGCTGTCACGAGCCCAGCTGCTTGGCCGGGCAAGCTCAAGGAGAGCCACACCATCATCATCTACTGCCATGTGGTGAAATTAAATGAGGGTAATAATGTCGTCTAAGTTTGCGCATGCGTCTCATGTGCTCTGCGTGTCCGCTACGTTTTGTACTGAGAGCATTTATCTGCAGACTGCGGGATCTGCAAAACCCAGTTCAACAACATGTGAAGCAGGATAAAACAGTCAAGAGCAACGCAGTTGCGTTTCGAATTGTTTTGGCAAGCGCTGACTGAAGAAGTTGGCCTGCTTGGTTTCTTGTGACGCTGTGCATCGTTGGCTGGCAAGAAGAAACAAAATTCGGAAGGCCGCCCCCCCGCAGAATCTATGAAAACTGACCCTCACTAGTTCTCGGGCTCTGACTGTGACAAAACCTCAGGGTCCTCATCGACACCTTTCTCAGTTTTCTCAGGAGTAGAGATGACTACGGACTGAGCGCCTTGGGCACTCTCTCCTGCACAGGAAGTGCCGCCTTGTGACTCTCCACCAAGAGAAGCTGCTCTCGTCAACTTTCGAACCTTGCGCCCAGGGAAACCGGAATTTGGGG